GGAGTTTGTGTGTTCGCTCAGACACATGAAAAATTAGAGGGAACATTGGTTGACACTGCTCTACAAGTTGCGTGTAGATCAGGGGCGGTACCTCTGGATGGGCATATCGGGGTGGTGGTTCCCATCTTTAAGAAGGGGCATCATACTTCTCAGCCTTCCCAGGAAAGTCTATGCTGCAAAGGAGAGTTGGTCTGGTAGTCAAACCTCTGATACAGGAGAAACAATGCGGTTTTTGTAGTGTCATGGAACACTGGACCAGCTCTTTACTCGCTCGAGGATACTTAAGGGTGCATGGGAGTTTGCCCAACCAGTCTACATGTGTTTTGTGGACTTGGAGAAGGCATTTGACCATGTCCCTCTGAGTGTCCTGTGAGAGGTCCTTGGGGATTATGGGGTGTCTGGCCCATTGCTACAGGCCATTTGATCCTTATACAACCATTGAAAGAACTTGGTCCGCATAGTCAGCAGACTCGTTTCAAGTGGGTGATGAACTTCTCCAGGGTTGCTGTTTGTCACCAATTCTGTTTGTAAAAAGACAAAATTTCTAGGCATAGCTAAGTGGTAGAAAGCTTTCACTTGGTTGGTCTCAGAATCTCAGCTCTGCTTTTTGCAGATGATGTGGTTCTGTTGGCTTCATTGGGTGATGGCTTCCAGCTCGCACTGAAATGGTTTGCAGCCGAGGATGAAGTGGTGGGAATGAGAATCATCACCTCCAAATTTGAGTCCATGGTCCTCAGCAGGAGGAGTGTTCATAGCAGGTCAGGGATGAGTTCCTGTCCCCAGTGGAAGAGTTGTCTTGTTCGCAAGTGACAGCAGAAGGGAGCGGAAGATCAACAGATGGATTGGTGCCACAGCAGCAGTGAAGCGGACGCTGTTCCAGTCCATTGTGGTCAACAGAGAGCTGAGTGTAAAAGTGAAACTCTCAATTTACCGGTCGATCTATGTCGCTATCCTCAGCGATGGTCATGAACTGTGGATCAAAAAAACACGATCACAGATACAAGCAGCAGAAATGACCTTCCTCCGAAGGGTGGCTGACATCTCCCTCAGAGATAGGGTGAGAAGTTCAGCCATCTGAGAGGAGCTCAGAGTAGAGCCTCTGCTCCTCAACATTAAAAGGAGCCAAGTATACCATGCTCAGTCTCTTTGGTACATAGTTGGCCTTTGGTCCAGATGGAGTCTGGAAGAAGATGACAAGGTCTCTCCTCACTGTAACAGCACCATGTGATGGATTATTGCCACACCTGCTCTCAAGAAACCACTTGAATAGGACCTGCCGGACAAAGTGGAGTAAGATTCACAAAAGCCAGATATCATGCAGCAATCCAAGGAAATTTAGGAACAAATGATGAACAAAGTAACTGAGATTTCTCAGGTTATAAAGCTGTTTCTAAAGCTGTGGGACTCCAGCAAACAATAGTGAGAGCCATTATCCACAGATAGCGAAAACGTCGAACAATGGCAAATTTTCCCAGCCAACCAAAATTAGCCCAAGAGCGCAGCAACGACTCATCCAAGAGGTCACAAAAGACCCCAGAACAACACATCCTCACATGCCTCAATTAAGGTCAATGTTTAGAAGGGCCTGCATCGCACAGTTCCAAGACAAAAACCACTGCCAAGCAAAAGGAACATAAAGGCTTGTCTCTGTTTTGCCAGAAAACATCTTCACCTGACCCAGACATGGTCCAAGCGGTGGTGGACTGGCCAGAACCCTCTGACTGGAAACAGCTCCAGCGTTGTCTGGGCTTCATTAATTTCTACTGTTGTTTCATCCGAAACTTTAGCCAGATCGCTTCTCCTCTCACACACCTAAATTCTTCTAAGGTGCTTTTCAGTGGGACTAGGCTGCTCAAACCATTTTCAGTAACCTCAAGCAATGCTTTGCCTCACCTCCCATCCTGTCTCCACCTGTATCTAACCAGTTTATTGTAAAAGTGGAGGCTTTGGACTCGGGAGTGGCGGCTGTCCAACAGTATGAAGGTAAGCTTCACTTTTGTGCCTACATCTCTCATCATCTCTTCTTCAAAGAATGGAACTATGATGTAGGGGACAGATTGCTCCTGGCAGTCAAACTCGCCTTGGAGGAGTACCAGCACTGGCTTTATCGTCTGGACGGATTACAAGAATCTTGCCTACCTTCAAACTCCTAAATGGTTAAACGCCTGGCAAGCCAGGTGGACTCTGAAAACTGGAAATGAGTAAAAAACTATCACCAATAGCACCAGGTCACACAACATCTAGCCCGAAGCTCTGTCCCGGCAATTCTCCTCCTTGGAAGGAGCTCCAGAGGAGTCTCTGATCCTTCCAGCCTCCTGCACCATCAGGGCGATCCCTTGGGAGGTCAAGGTAGGTTTTTGTTCAGAACCAGACCCCAGGACTGTGCTGCT